CCCCCCTCCCCTTATGAGTCATTTCCATTCGGCGTATCGGAACGGTGGTGTACCGGCGGTACCGGCCGGCCAGTGGCCAGTAGGGGGCCCGAATTGGGCCAACGCATACGTGTTCCTTATGTTTGCGTATTGCCCAGTGATAAATCAGTGGTCGAATCGACCTCGAACCGTTATTTGTTATCTGTTATCTGTTATCTGTTATCTGTTATTTCTCTTAAGGTGATACAGCCTAGGCCGGTCGAAAAATTGTCGATTAGTACAAATGTCGAATCTACGGGATTTTGTCCCGCAAATCGACGTTCTTTCGACATGACTATTTCGATACTTTATCGAAAAGGGACTAAAGGGACAGGTCTCAACGGTTGAGCTAGGCCCAATAGCGACTGTTGGTGTATCCGTAGGCACCCGCGTCGGCATCGCAATCAAAAATTACTGCAGGAGATGAAGTCCCTGACGGACACCTCCCGCGCTGGAACAAACACGTCTCCAGCATATAGTTGTTTTGGCGTTGCGGTTGCGTGGGTGCGCTTATCACGACCCCCTCTACTCGGAGGCGCTCGTTACCCCATGAGAGAAGGGCCCTTCTCTCATGGTGACCCCGAGTAGTGATATGGGTGCCCTCGGTCAGGACTCGGGGCCATTCGAACATTCCGGATTATGACTGCTGTGCTAATTTTAGATGTGTAACATTTTCTCGTGTGCTGTCTAATGGACCCTTGGAAACTTTAGCCAGAGATGGAGGGGAAAACACACTTTTATACCATGCTATATCAAGTATATTTGACACAAGTTTCGCCATACAGCTTTAAGTTGGACTTGTCCAACGACCCTACCGTCACATCCTTCGCTTCTACGCCTTCTCATTACTCTTGTGAGAAGCTGTCCTTGAAGACAATAGACTTGTCCTCCCGCTTCAGCACTCGGGCCACGGCGCCCCGGGTTCTGCTTCGACCCACTCTCCGGCGGAACAGACGAGCTCCTTGGCGGCTACCTGGTCCGGGATCTCGTTGGCGCACGTGTACACGGCCCTGGTGGCGCTCCCAGCGCTCGGCCCCTGCGGGCCCCTGCTGCAGTCGTGGTCCGGACCCGCCCGCGCGTACTCCACCTGCACCTGCAGGGTGGGCTCGCGTGGGGCGGGCGGCTCGGCGCAGCCCTTGTAGCCCGCCCAGGCGCGGTGCACTGCCAAAAACCAGAAAAGAGGCGCGGGTGAATTCCCATGACGAGCTCGCCGACGGCGCGGCGCCTAGCCCACGGAGGAGTCGTGGCAGACGCAACACGAGAGAGTCCGCGTCTCTTGACCGCGTGCAACTGGAGACCCCCGTCCTCCTCCTCCCCGGCCACTCGGACTCACCGGCTCCGGACGAGACGTTACCCGACACGAGAGGCGTCTGGTCCTGGAAGCTCAGGCTCCACAGGAAGACGGAGGACTTTGGAATCTCGGCGACCTGACACACACCAGAGGCAGTGTTTAGACCTACTTGAATTTAAAGCAAGATGCACGATGCAAAAACGAGTTTTCTCTCTGGCACGGGCGGGGTTTATTTGCGTGACTCAGACTACTTACGTGGTAGCTCTTGAAGGCGTTGTAGCCGTAGGTGTTGTCCGAGTACACCACCTTGGTCCACTCGGTGACGCGGTCGAAGAACCTGCCCTGCTCCGGGTCGAACACGCCGGCCGTCAGGTTGAGGTCCGGGAACACCCTGGCGCAGGTGACGCGCCAGCCGACGGTGCAGTTGACGCCCGTCGAGTCCTCCGTCTCGATGCGCGCCTTGCAGACCACTGCGACACGCGACCGTCCCCACCACCACCGTCAAGCTCCCGCCCCGGACACCCGCGCGCTGCGCGCCGCTTCCTCCCGGCCGCACCATCCGGGACGACGGCCTCTCTACTCACGGAGCACGGCGAAGTGGAAGCGGCGGGACGCGGCGCTGCCGCGGTCCGTGTGCACGCTGCACGAGTAGTTGCCCGCCATGGCCGTGGTGGCCCGCGCGATGCGCACGTTCCAGCCGGGGCTCCCGTCCGGGGCGGCGTCCACGACGGCGTCCTCGAGCGCGCCGAAAGCTACCGCAGACAAGTAGGTGGTCATCACATCAGCCCCGGCGGCGGCGGCCGTGCCCGTCGTGTGGCGGGATGGATGCGTTGGCCTCTCGTCGTAAACGTAACCACGGCGAGATTAGCCATAAAGGGGCGCCATAAGGCCAGGGCGGGGCGGGGCGGGGCCGCCCGCGGGCCGTAAGGCCAGGAGGCCACGGGGCGGGGCACGGCCGGAGCAGCCGCGGCACTTGCAAGACCGGAGGGGCGTCCCATCCGTCATCGCGCCCACCGCAAGCAGGAACGCAAAGGGGTGGAGAGAATCCCCGCCGCTGCTGTTATGTCCGCGGGGGGTCGGACAGACATGGGCTGCTGCTCACGTGCTCACCCAGAGTGCGGCCCGCGGCGGCGGCCCCGCGCCCCGGCAGCCACCGGTACACGAGGTGCGAGTCCTTGGTCCAGGTCACGCCCTGCAGCTGCTCGCCGGGCTCCAGGGTGAAGCGGCACTCCAGGACGGCGCCCTGGCCCGCCATCACGTACCGCGGCGCGCCGCCGGGGGACGACGCCGACGACGTCTCCGCCAGCCCGGCGCCCTGCACTTGGACCGCGTGACCTGGGCCGAGAAGAACAAGGATGCTGTGACACACAACGGACAGTGGTTCAGTTTTTAAACGACTTTCTTGGCGTGAAAATTATATTACATTCGTATTTTTTGGACCAGGAACGTCCCAGAGGGATAACGCCTGCGACGCGTTGGGTAGGCTGACCCGCCCGGAGCGGGGGCTTGCGGGCAAGAGCACGCTTGACGCACTCAGCGAGCGTTCCTTGTCCGCGTCGCCTTCCGGGGACGTTCATTGTGAGGTCACCTTCGTGAAGCACAGAGTCCAGGGAAGACGCACGACGCATGTGGTCTGGACTCAGACAAATGTTACTCACGGCCGCCCGAGGGCAGGCGCCTTCAGAGATAGCGGGAGCGGGGAGCGCGCGAGCCCAGGGTGTGAAGGTGGAGGTGTCTCCCGCGCCAAGATAAAGCCAATATTTTGCGGGAGACGGCTGGAGTGCTGAATGTGTGGCGAGACCCGCACAGCCTCTGCCTGCTTTATTCACTTTCCACGACTTGCGCTCCGTCCTTGTCGCCGGGCCCCGGAGCAGCAGGCCGGCAGGCAGAGCGAGCGAGAGAGAACAGTCGTGGCTGCTGCCGCCACCGCCGCCGACCCGACGGCCCGACCCCCTTGTTGCAGCAGAAATGAATGGAGCAAAGTTGTGTGTTGGCTTTTTGAAAGGGAATGTACCTGAGCCGGGGGCGGCGGCCCTGCCCGCCAGAGGAGTCGGCCGGAGAGCCCCCTGGAACTAGATCTCCCTGGAGTGGAAAGCCCAACAATGGGGGGCGGTGCGGTGGACCCGGCTGCTGGATCCCCAACTTGGGCCGTACCGGGCCGCGGCTGGGCCCGGGTGCTAGCCCCCCCCCCCTCCCTCCTCCCGCAGCGGTCTGCCAGAGAGGAGGGTGCAAAGGAAGTCCACCGGAGCAGGGCTCCCCAGGGTGGCGGCGTCATATTCCTTTTTGTTCAGGGGGGCCAACGTCGTCGTTTTCGCAACGCAAACGCTGTGCAGCGCTGCTGCAGCGTACCCGCCCCGTGCGGCCCAGAGGCACCCGTCGTCCTCCACCCTACCCGGCCAATTAGGGCAGTCGGGAGGACAGGGCAGGGGGTGGGTGGCGCCCGTGGCGCCGGGCTGCACCAGGTCCGCTCCCCTCCTCCTCCTCCTCGGTCTACTACTACTCCTTGGTGCAGACCACCGCAAGACGGACGTAACTCGGATTCCCGCTGGATCGCGAGTCGGCGTAGCGCATTCGGCCCCGGGATTTACACAATGTAGGCGGACGTGCCTCGACTGGCGCGGCTGCGGGTTCGCTTTCTGCTTCACGGGAGTCTCACGACTTTGGCGTCCACCGGGAGGACCGCGCGTCCTGCACGACGTCCGGGCTGGAGGCGACGTAAGCAGTACTCACCCCCTGTGAAGGTAAGCAGCAGCAGCAACAGCACCGGCAGCGCGCCGGCCGCGGTGGACCCCGAGCTCGCCATCGTGACCCTGGTCCTGCCGCCCGTCTGCCGGGTGGCCGCCGACGGAGAGGTTAGTCGGTGCGACGGACGGGCGTGGACGCGCGTCTGTTTGTTTGGTCGACGGGACGCCATGGCGACGCGGAGGTGGTGGTGGTGTACGTCGCGGGGGTGGCGGGGCGCGGGG